GTAATAATTATAACTTCTTTATTCCTTCAAGTCTATCTCTTAGACTTATTGATTGTAAGCAATACTTGATCGTGCACCTGCTCTCTACCTAGATTAGACTCCAAATTATGACCTATCATCATGTGATGCACATTTAGACTCAGGTCTCTTAAATTCTAAAACAGACTAAGCCTTCCTTCATGTTCTAATGTGATATAATCATACTTTAACATGTAGCATTTCTAGCTACCAACGAGCGCAATACTTGTATTGATCGCTTTGATTTTAATTGTTTGGTTTAAGTCGGACGCTATATCAAACTTGGTTCTCTGAACCACGTAACCTACTCATCGTAGTCGGACTCAATGTGATATGACCACTAGGGTCGGGATAACAACAATCTTCTTAGTCATTACCGAAACAATGGTAACGACATACTTGAATAAAACGAAATCAATTACTGGCTCCTTGGTAACCTTGTGACTTTCCCTGATCCAAGTGTGAGTCCTGTGCTTCCGGTAGTATAGGCCTCTACTACCATTCACACCTACTCATACTCGTCCCAAGTATTGTCCCGCAGTTTTTCCAAGTGACCATACAAGAAAAAAAACAACTTAACACATCAGATAACAAAACAAAGGTTTCATATTATTTCTTGAAACGATTACATAGGTGTTCAAGTTCACCCTAGGCTATGCCTCTAATAGGCTACTTCATACAATACTATGGCTACTGCATAACTTGATCTTCGGATATGAAGTCCTCATCCTTGATTCCTCGCACGGTTTTCTTCTTCGTCGAGGATCATGTGAAATGCCCTTGGCCTTGGTGGCGTTTCTGGTCTTGCTGCTTTATTTTTCTTTGGGCAGTTCTTTGAAATATGCCCATTATTTCCACATTCGTAGCACTTCTTGTTGTCGAATGTACAATCTCTGGAATAGTGACCGGTCCTACCACACTTATAGCACGTCACTTCTCCATCGCATCTTCCGAAGTGCTTCTTCTTGCACTTCTCACACCACTTGGCTTCATTCCTTCGGTCGTCCATGTTAGACTTTGAGAACTTTCCCTTATTATCAGGTCTTGAGGATCCTTCCAACTTCCTCTTCTCACCAACTTCAACTTTCTCCAGACCCTTTTCTCTTATTTGGGTCTCGACATTCTTGGCTGCCCAGATGGCGGCTTTCAAAGTGGTTGCTTGTTTGACCATTGGACCAAAGTCTGCTGGTAATCCGTGGGCAAACTTATTGACCTTGGAGAGTTCAGTTGGAACTAGATAAGGAACAAGCTTCATTTTCTCCGTAAAACTTGCAGCATACTCGATGACACTCATCTTTCCCTTCTTTAGATTCTGAAACTCGTTGTTGATTTCCAGAAGATCCTGTTCAGAGCAGTACTGCATTTTTAGCTGCACCAGAAAATCCTCCCATGACATTTTGCTCGCTTCTCCTTTGGGCATCGAATCAGCTAGTAGCTTCCACCAGCTTAGTACTCCAGATTTCAACAGAGGAACCGCGAGAGCGGTCTTTTGCCTGTTGCTACACTCACAACTCTCAAACATCGTCTCCATCTCGGAGATCCAGTTTATGACTTCCACCGGCGTCGGGCTTCCAGATAGACTCGGTGGTTTGGACGCCATGAAATCCTTGTATTTGCATCCACGTCCATCATTTCCTCCATCCTGGTGGTTTTGCCTAACTATTGGTGGGTTGGCTTGACCAACAGTCCCACTGTAGTTTCCCTCCTCAGTCTGCCCTTCGTTCAACTCGGGCTGTTCGATCTGAACGGTCGCTTCCTCTCGATTTTGCTGGAGCAAACGCCTAGTTTCCTCCATTTGACGATCCAACATCGCTTGGATCATCGCTTGCACTCCGGCCATTGAGACTGGCTCAGCAGCGGCTTCCATCACCGGTATTTGCTCAATCACTGGGGGTTGGTTTCGGTTCCCATTCGCATTTACGTTTCCGCTACGGGTTCTTGCCATCTTGATCTCTACACCGAATAAGGTGAATCTAGACCTTTACTTAGGATTGATGTTTAAATCATCCTTATCACTCCGAAACGTTTATATGCTAGTTCTAATATCGTATTCGTACGTTTAGAATCCTAGACACATAAGGTTTCCAGATCCGGTCGGCAACAGACCATAGATCCGATCAAACTATAGCATCATTTAGCACGTAAAAGGAATTTAGGCATCATTCCTAAAATAAGCTAGTGCTTGTGTCTATTCATGTGCATTACCTAAATCTATTTGACACACTCCTCACAATCATTACTTAGCATTCTAAGTTTAAGTCTAGAAATAAATCCATATTCCTAGTTCGCTTAAACTAATGCTCTGATACCAACTGTGACATCCCCAAAATCACGGCCAGAAAAGACCGATTTTGTTTATGCTTTATAAAAATCAGAGTACTTCATTTTATAAAAAGGTTGCGGAATTTGTTCCCAGAAAAACACGATAAATACGTTATTAAAACATTTTCGAAGAAACGTATTTTTATTCATCTTAAAACGTTTGGGATGTCATCGTTAATACAGAAACATAAGCATAAACAGAACTTACAATTATTTACACTAGTGATCTACATCTCTTTAAATCTCTCAGTGTAATGTCACTTCATATCGCCACCTGTGATGTAAATAAACTGAGTGGGTCAGGTTGGGAAACCTGGTGAGTACATAGGGTTTTCAACCCACAATAATATAGTTATTATGTTTAAACAATCAAACAATCAACCCAATTACCCATCCCCATTATCTTCTTTTAGTCTTCCCTAAAGATATTATCTCAAGGGTCATCTCCTATATCATATTTACTTCTCATCTCCTTACATCGTATTTCCTTACATGATTGTTCCTACGAACTTTACCTAAGGATCATCGCCTACATTGCATAGACAATACTAATCCGAGGATTACTCCCTCAATATGTGTCTAGCAAGAGTTAGGGTATCATCGCATGATTACGCAGCCACAACATCGCCTGGACTTGTAAATCATGATAAGGGTTAGTCTATCATCACATGAATACGTAGCCACAACATCGCCTGGACTCGTAATTCATAATAAGGGTTAGACTATCATCGCATGAATACGTAGTTACAACATCGCCTGAACTCGTAATTCATCACCTACAGGTTACTAGCCTGCTGGTGTTTCCACGGGGTTGTCTATAATAGTCCGCGGTCGCCATCTATACTCTGGTAGATGACTACATCTCCAAATTGTCGGACAAGGTTGTAGTATCCTACATCACCGATTCATAATCACCTATCTATCATCACCTTCCTATCATCACCTATCTCTCATTATTTTATTTCATCACTCACCAACTATTTCATCTACCCATGTTTTATCCCAACATATTTGTAGCTATAAAATAAATATACAGTTTAAATCATTTAAAACATGTATAAATCATTCATCCAGCATAGACAACAAGTATTCTGACAATATGTACACATAGCACGTAATTTATATTAAAATACTTCATATCTATGTGTAAGATGAAAGGGACCATGCACTCACCTGAAAGGTGGTGACTCAGCACTCGGACAGCGCTTCGATACTCTCAAAACGATATTCCTTCGATAAAACCTAGTACCAGTACCACTAGGGTTTAGTCTAACGATAACCGTGACTAATTAATAGTCTGACTATTATTATTATTATATAAGCGTTAAATAACACTCAATATAACTCATAATAATAGCCCAAATACTCATTATAAGTTCCTAATAATGTTACTATATTAAAACATAAGCTATACTAAAGATAGCGTAGGCATAGCTTACTTACAGCGGGTTTTTCGCAAAGTCGGGCTTCGCTGGAGCAGCGTTCCCAAGCCGAAAGACCCTTTTTCTCGGGACTCCGGGAGCCTCAGGGCTTCCTTCGGGTGCTAGGGGGTTTACCTAGGCTTTTAGGGGCTTAAGGGAGCTTAGAGAGAGAGTTTAGAGAGAGAAAGAAGAGGGGTGAGGGGTGAGGAAATGAGGGAACCCGACACCTCTATTTATAGGGTGGAATCTGATGGACTCGCCGAGTAGGGGGGACCTACTCGCCGAGTTGGTCCATGTGGTGGCCTTCTGGTGGTGCCACGTGTCCAATTCTGGTGGTGCCACGTCACCCCCTATCGCGTATCAGCCCTCAAACTTAGAAAAATCATAACTTTCGCATACGAGCTCCGTTTTCGACGTTCTTTATATCCACGCGTAGGTAAAATCAAGATCTACAACTTTCGTTTAGACTCCGTCAGCTAATTCTCGACCGATCTCAAATTTAACAGTAGGAGGCGATTAGACTGTTAAATGACCGCGAAGAGTTCATAACTCCTTCATACGGACTCCGTTTTCGTCTGTCTTTTTACCGTTGAGTTCCTATTAATGAGATCTTCAACTCTCATTTAGGTCACGTAAGCCAAAAACCGCTCGAACTAAAATTCGAGTTTCAGGCCGTGCACTGCTAAGCCGAATCTTAGAAAAATCATAACTTCTTCATACGAAGTCAGATTTGGGCGTTCTTTTTATCGATGTTCTTAGTTTAACATATTCTACGAATTTTGTTTAGATTGCTAAGGCTAAAAAGTCTTCTATCGTAAATTCACTATTTACGTCTCCCGGTGCCGTGCCGGTTTTGCCGTAAAACTTCGGCGGACCATAACTTCTTCGTTATAACTCGGATTTCGGCGTTCTTTATATGTACGGAAACCTTGTGACATATTCTACAACTTGGTTAAGATTATTTATTCTAAATAATCTTTTGTCGAAAAGTCATTTTCAACCCCTATTGCCTCTAAATTGACTAGCCCGGATCTGCGGGCGTTACAGATGTGAATGAGATATTTAAGCTTATTCCAGGTTCTGGTGTCAAAATTCTATTCTGGCAAGACAGTTGGTGTGCCGATACTTCTTTTCAAAAAAAAAATCCCTAATTTGTACTCATTAGAAAAAGTAAAATGTTGTGCTCTGGAGGACCGACTATCTAGCAATGGCTTCTCATGGATGTGGAAGTTTGAGCCGATGGGCGATATTGAGACTAATGAACTTCTACAATTGTACAAGGATATTGAAATGTTGACAGTTGTGAAATCTTCCAAATATGGTTTTGAATTCACTCTGAACCCTAATGGGGAATGCACCGTCAATGTCATGAGGAGGTTGCTGGAATCTAAATTGATTATGTATAAAGGTATATCCATCTGTTGGTCAAAACTGATACCTTTGAAAGTAAGATGCTTTATTTGGAAAGCTTCATTGGCTAGAATCCATGTGGCTGATGCTTTGATGATCAGGGGTGTTAACACTACAAATATTACTTGCCCTTTATGCAACAAGGAGAATGAATCAACAGATCATCTGCTCATTACTTGTGATTATACTCGGGAGGTACAAGATTAGATCCTTAAATGGTATGGAATACAAATGAGAAGATTCTTGAATGTTAAAGAATTCATTGATTTATGCAGTTATTTGGGGAAACCGCCCTAGAAAAAAAAGAGATTTTAAACTTGGTGTACTATTGTCTTCTGTGGAATATTTGGTTGGTCAGGAATGACAAAATTTTTAAGAAAATTATTGTACCACCGACAATAACTGCGGACAACATAATTTCATCATCCTATGTCTGGTATTAAATATAGAAGCAATTGTGGATGCGGAGCATGGACCGATTGATGTATTTCACATTTCTCTCACTTTTTTTCGTAGTTATGTTTCTTTGTGTAATACTTATTATCTTTACTTTTCTACTTGTACTTGTATTCCTGCATCGTTTTAGCTTCTAGCTTGCGAGTGCTTGTTTTTTTTTTCATTTTTTTTTAATATATTTGTCGTTTCAATATATATATAGTTTTTAAGGTATTTTTATTTATCGAAATTGTATTATTTTTCCAAAAAAATATCATAAGTAGTTCGTTATAGATTGATTTTTTATAAAATGTTTATCGGATGTTACAAAAATAGCAGCTCCCAAAATGATGATGTAGCTATGAGGTAACAATCATTTTAACTTTATAAAATTTAATGTACCATTGGAAACAAACCAACAATATATGGCCAGCTACGTGAGTGCTTTCTATCATTTTTGCGGAGAAGGTAGCCGACCAAAGCGACGTCGCTGTCAATTTGCAGTAAAGAACAACTTCATTTCCATTATTATGAAGTGGACGGCGATAAAATACACACAATTTTCTCATTGCTACCCCACAATCTATTCCTATTTATAACCACTCCACCACTGATATCATCACCACTCACTTATCTACAAACGTAATATTCCAGTGATCAGAGTACTAGAGAGAAACAACAATGGAGGGAAAGGAAGAGGATGTTTATCTGGGAGCTAACAAGTACCGGGAAAGACAACCGATTGGGACGGCGGCGCAGGTGCCAGATAAGGATTACCAAGAACCACCACCGGCTCCGTTCTTTGAGCCGTCGGAGCTCACTTCCTGGTCGTTTTACAGAGCTGGGATCGCTGAGTTTATCGCTACCTTTCTGTTTTTATACGTCACCGTTTTGACGGTCATGGGAGTAGTTAAGTCGCCGACCAAGTGCTCCACCGTTGGTATCCAAGGCATCGCATGGGCCTTCGGCGGCATGATCTTCGCACTCGTCTATTGCACAGCCGGAATCTCAGGTATATCACTTTCTAACAAAAAAATTAATCTTTATTAATTAGTTGGAGTAATTAACAATGAATTTGCAGGTGGGCATATTAATCCGGCGGTGACATTTGGGTTGTTTCTGGCGAGAAAACTGTCGTTGACCAGGGCATTGTACTACATGGTGATGCAGTGTCTTGGCGCCATCTGCGGCGCCGGTGTCGTTAAGGGGTTCGAAGGAAGCAAACAGTATAAGCTACTCGGCGGTGGCGCAAACACGATCGCACACGGTTACACCAAGGGCGACGGCCTCGGTGCTGAAATCATCGGCACATTTGTCCTCGTTTACACTGTATTCTCCGCCACCGACGCCAAGCGCAGCGCCCGAGACTCCCATGTTCCGGTACGAGCAAGTTCAACTCTTAAATCACCAATCTTATAATAAAGACAACGATTTGAAAATGGATTTTGTGTTATTAACTTTTCAGATATTGGCGCCGTTGCCAATTGGGTTCGCCGTGTTTTTGGTGCACTTGGCCACCATTCCGATCACCGGAACTGGAATTAACCCGGCAAGGAGCTTGGGAGCTGCCATTATTTTCAACCAGGACCACGCATGGAATGATCACGTAAGTATTCCACCTCCATTTATATAAATGTTGATTTAAATACAAGATCATATGAATAATGTTTTGATAAAGATTTGTCGTTTTTGTGTTTGTGGGAATGCAGTGGGTATTCTGGGTCGGACCTTTCATCGGAGCAGCACTTGCGGCATTGTACCACGTAGTGGTGATCAGGGCCATCCCATTCAAGAACAAATGAGGAAGACGACGATCCTTTTGTTTGTTTTTTTGTTTTTGTTTGTAAAATGTATGTAGTAGTTGTAGTGGTTTCCTTTGTTTTTCTAATAATTCCATAAGAATCCATATGAGAATTGAGGTGGATGAGTCTGTTTGGGTGTCCACATCAAAGTATTTGTGGGCTTATCTTGTACCTTTCTGTAAATTTATTCTCTATGCAATCAATGTTTTTCATTTTCAAGTTTGATGATATAATGAGATCTTTATAGTTTTGATGTTTTAAATTTGCGTACAAATAAAAATGTCCCAGTTGTTCAGTTCTTTGCGCTGCTTTTACCTAATATATATCTTGTGCCCTTTAAAAAATAAAAAAGTCCAGGAACTATAGATATCAAATAAGTAGATAATGGAGTAGTTAGGTATCTGATAATTGATGATTTGATATCAAGTGTCTTATTATTATTATGTATTATGTATCAGTGTATTCATTATCCTTTTATTATAATCACAAGTTGAATATTAAATGTCATTAAATTAATAACTTTTAAATTTTGGAATTTAGAATCATGGTTATCTACTTAGGTACACTTCTAACATCTTATCACATTATCTTTTTGAATGTGACATTATTTTTCTTTTTGAACAACTAAAATGATGTTTGTTTTTTCTAAAAAACCATTTCAAATCATTTATTGTTGTGTCACACAGCATTTAACCCTACGCAGCTGTTTGTTTTTCAGAATGTTTCTAACTTATAAACTGTTGTGCATGTGCTGCATGACGTAGCAGTAGACCAACTGTTTCATACCTCTTCACATCTTACTTTAACTTACTGTAGCAGTCTGCAAACGTTAAAAAACAAAACAGACTTTTTATTAAATGTTGCAGCCTTTTTGTCCACATCTTCTCCTACAGAGGGTTGCATATGTGGTTCGCAGACTTCAAACATTTTTGTTTCGGATAAACAAACAACACATAATTCTTAGCATTTGGGAATGAGTGGTAACACTTCTAACACTTTTTTTTTTCTTTTTCAAATTTAATTATATTTTTTTAATACACAAACAATTATTATTAAATAAATTATGTTTTTTTAAATACAAACACTTTAAATATTAAATAAAAAAGGTTTCTAATTTTAAACAAAAAAAAACCAAGTTGCTCAAACTTTGGAGATCAAATATGTAATTTATTTCTCTTCTTCCTCAGTATTCTGGTTAAAAGGAATGTACAAAAAATGGAAGCTTATACTTTTTCACCTGCTTACTTTCTCACCGTCAAGTCTAAACCTTGTGTTATTTTTATTAAAAAAAAAAAGTGAAGTTAGCAAATCACAACCCTTTCTTTCATCTTTCTCATTCTCTTTCTTCTCGTTGCCCAACCACCTAGCCTTCCTTAGCGAGGCAGCTAGCGAATTCAATGGAAATGGTGGAAGCGAGCATGGTGAGCTTGGCTAGCGAGTCACTCCCTCCAGCCTAATATAATGATATCTTTATAGTTTTCATGTTTTAAATTTTCATACAAACAAAAATGTCCCGGTTTTTCAGTTCCAGCTTTCCACTAGCTTTTATTATATATATATATATATATATATATATATATATATATTATATATATATATATATATATATATATATATATATATATAGAGAGAGGTTCATATGAGACGGTCTAATTTTGTGAGACCATGAGATGCATTTTTTTTATTATTTTTTATTTTTTTTAGTTAATTCAAATTTCGAAAATAATATTTAAAAAAAAAAATTTGGATTTTATTATTTATTTTGCATTTTAAAATTTTTTTTAGAATATGTACAATGTAATATTCTATTAGAATATTTCACGTATTTTTTTAAAAAAATGGAATTTTTTTTAGTTAATTCAAGTTCCGAAAATAATATTTAAAAAAAGAATTTTTGGATTTTTCCATTTATTTTGCATTTTAAAATTATTTTTTAAAATATGTTAGTGTAATATTCTATTAGAATATTTCACGTATTTAAAAAAAAAATGGAATTTTTTTTAATTTTTTTTAGTTAATTGAAGTTCCGAAAATAATATTTTAAAAAAATAATATTTTGGATTTTTCCGTTTATTTTGCATTTTAAAATTATTTTTAGATTTGGTCTAACGGTCTCATAAAATTAAAATGATCCTGAACCTCTCTCTCTCTCTCTCTCTCTATATATATATATATATATATATATATATATATATATATATATATATATATATATATATATTTTGTTGCCGTTAGATATCAAATAAGTAGATAATGGAGTAGTTAACTACCTGATTTGATATCAGTTGGCCTATTATGTGTATCAATGTATCCACTATCCATTCATTATATTCACAAGTTGAATATTAAATTTCATTAAATTAATAACTTTTAAATTTTGGAATTTAGAACCATGGTTATTTAGTTACGAACATAAAGGATGAATTTGTCTTATAACATCTCTAAATTTCAGTTCAAAAACTTGGTTTTAATTCATAAATAAAAAACATGAGTACCATACATCATATAAAATATGTATCTCATAACTCTTATAATCAACTGTCAATATATCAAAATCATATCAAAACATCATAGTAAATCATCACAGGCTAAAAGTTGTGGTATGTGTCATGCAGTCATTCTGAACTCTTCCCCTTGCTAGTGGAAGTACCTGAAACCAAAACTGAAAACTGTAAGCACGAAGCTTAGTGAGTCTCCCCAGACTACCACATTATACATTGGGCCTTGCCCATTACATCGGGCCCCGCTCGGCATTGGACGAATTCGGCATCGGGCCCCGCCCGACATCGTACCGAAGTTCGGTATACATATAACATATCAACAAGCATATAACATAAATACATAACATAAAAATATAAACATTCCTCAGGCTTGCCTCGACATCGGACCGAAGTCTGGAACGCATAACACATAACATATAAGCTAAACATTCCTCGGGATTGCCACGGCATCAGATCAAAGTCCGGAACA